CTAGGACATATTTTTGCACCACTATTTAAATATTGATTTGTACTCAATTAAGAAATAATTCTAAACTACTATTTCAAGATAGATTTAGATTTAGATTTTTACTAAGTGATTTATTTTGCTCTAATTATACCAGTGATAACAAAAAAAGGAGACACGCAAATTGACCTAAATGACTCACAAACAAATAAAAGATCTTATATGAACAATATGCAGGAATATAACTTTTAAAATTATATCTTTGAGAATTTCATACATGTAGACTTGCCACCCCTCTCTCCAACTCCTCCTAGATCCTTATCCCACCATGTCCCCCTTCCTACTTCTTGCCTTCCTTTTTTTCGTAAATCCACTGAATGGAATTCATTCTGTCTGTTTGCAAGGATGGAGGGTTATACACTGTAGCATCAGTGATCTATCAGGGGCCACAACCCTGAAGAAAACCGGCTCTTCCTGCCCAGCAGCCATCAAATAGGAATAACTCCTCAGCTAGGAGTAAGGCTTTGTGGTCCTCTTCCTCATTCCATTCTAGAGATTTGGGTGACTAATCTTGTACAGGTCTTACATATGCAGCCATTGCTACTGTGAGTTCCTTGAGTGTTGGGCCCTGTCCTGTCCACAAAGCACTCTTAAAACAGATGTCCTCCACAATCTCTGGCTCTTACAATCATTCTGTCCCCTTGTCATGATATTTCTGAGCCTCCACTGTCTCTTATTTTCTGTAGTTTGAAGAGACTGAGTCTTTGTATTAACTGCCATCCACTGCAAAAGATGAAGCTTCTCTGATGATGGTCGAAAGCTGCACTAATTTATGGATATTAGTTGCCTGAAATGTGCAACTGCTGCTGGGGAAAAAAGTCATCAACAGTATTGTCCAGTGGTGAACCCTGTAAGTTAAAACAATGACCGGACTGACAAAATATTCCAACTGATACACGCATCATGATTATTGCGGGGAAACAAGCCGCTTTCTGACTGAATTTAAGGCCTACTCCATAGGACAAAATTCATGCCTGGTACTGTAAACTGGCCCAAGAAATTGGGCTGGGGAAGTTATAGGCCCAAAGGGAGACGGTACTACTATTATTTTTCTAAATGAACATAGTATCGAATGGCATTCTAGATACTTATGTAGGATTATAAATTTTGTTGCAAAAAATCTCTTTAATGCTATTTTAGCAATGCATGTGCATTTTTAGGGTGAGTTAAACTGAAGCAAATGGTTTGCTATCTCTGAGCTTTATTTAAGAAAGGTCAGGAAAAACTAGATTTAAGACATCCATAGCAGCTTGACAACTGCTCCCTTAAGAACCATCACAAAAGAAATCTGATTTTCATGGAGACATTCTTGAAGGGCTGAGGACAATGGAAATTGATACGGTAAACACGAATGCGAGAAAAATGAACAAAGCCAAGAGATTTATCCCAGAAAAGTGCTACTCAGATGCTTTGACAGTGTTC